AAAACAAATATATTACACGGTTTAAAATAGGTACTAAGAATGCTTTGCCGCACATACATTTTTATTTTAATAATTCCACTCCAAGTAGCACATCGCATTTATTAGCATATTTACATTTCTTCCATAGTTTAAGTACGGTCTACGTATTATCGTCTTATATAATACGAAGTTTACATTTATATAATATGCAATAGCAATGCGCGCGAGACAGGGTTGTGCAAAAATACGTTTAAGTTTAATAAATATTATTTATTTCTATTGAAATTGTTATTGATGGTACCTTGCGACCGCATTTTGTTATTTTTTCCATAATGTAAATAAAATAGTGATCTCAGAATGCCTATTATCATTACATTGTCATAAAAATTTAAGGTTTAGCAACTCGAGAACCTTTTTCCGCAATCGGTTGTCGGTTCTTCGTCCGTGGACTTGGAGATATAGACGGCCCGTTACCAGTTGAGCTTACTTATCGGTTAGGCTATATCCGTTATTATGATTATACTGTGGATAACCCAATGCCAAGCATAGCCCGCTCCCTATCTCGGTGAGCTAAGTACCGGGGTGAATGATCACGTTTCTGATCCATGTGTCATCACTGGAAAAATGCACTAGTTGTTTTCAAGTTCTAAGATACTCGTGACGAGACGATGTATCGGAATCTCCCGAATGCTTCTTAACCAAGTTCAAGTTGGAATTACCTGCATATTTGGACACTGTGCTAAATTAAACATACCTGCGACAACTTCGAACATAGCACTCCCAAGAACTATCAGGCATAAATTATATTGAATTATACTGCATAGAATAGTTTCGGATCCGACACTATTCCGATGATATCCCGGACGTCAGTCTGAGCGAGATTAGAATAGCTCTCCAGCACCTTAAAAATGGCAAGGTCCCAGGCGAGGACGGAGTTACAGCGGAGCTTCTGAAAGCGGGTGGAAAACCGCTTTCAGAAGCTCCCTAGGTCAATTAACGAATTCAACTCGGCTGGGCAGCGTTCGGGAAATTACGACACATCTTCTCGTCAGCTATACCTCAAAACCTGAAAACGAGACTATACAACCAATGCGTGTTGCCAGTGATGACCTATGGAACTGAGACGTGGTCCTTCCTTCACTGCTGCATGAGGACGCTCAAAGTCGCTCAGCGAGCTATGGAGAGGGCTATGCTCGGGGTTTCTCTGCGTGATAAACTTAGAAATGAGGATATCCGCAGTAGAACCAGAGTGACTGACATAGCCCAACAGATTAGTAAACTTAAGTGACAATGGGCCAGCCATATAGTTCCCGACAACCGTCGAGGAAAAAAGATTTTCGAGTGGCAGTCTCGTACTGGTAGGCGAAGTGTAGGGCGACCCCCCACTAGATGGAGTGACGACCTAGCAAAGATGCAAGAAGTCGATGGATACAGATGGCTCAGAACCGTGCTTTGTGGCATTTCTTGGGGGAGGCCTGTGTTGTTCAGCAGTGGACTTGTAAATGGCTGTAATGAATGAATACTGCGTAGACATTACATATATATATGATCTTTGTTTTGTCCGTGTTTATTTTCAATCTTCTCCGATGATGGTATTCCAGCGATTCTGACATAAAGATTATACAGTCGGTAAATTGAAGGTTTTCCAATTCAACGGTGAAGAGTATCGGGGAGACATAGCGTCACCCTATCTGAAATCTCTCTGCAGTTAGGTCGATTTTGTACTCAGGTTCTATATTCAGATAGCCATCCTAGCCCTACTGTACAAACACTTCACCATTTCGGTATACCGACGGTGAACTTGGCAACGCTGAAGGGGTTGTAGCACCGCCCACATTTCGACGGAACCAAAGGCATTTTCATACTTCACTTGCGCAAGACAAAGTGGCAGATTGTAATTTGTTTCTGTGTACTGTATAATTTGCCGGAGTGTTATGTATGTGCATTGCATCAAGTGATGGAAGATTAAGGCGTATTATACTGTATTCGCCAATCCTCTTGGGGCTTATATTTAAACCTTTTAGCTTTAGAAGATTTTATTCAACAATCCAACAATAATAATACGAGTATAATAGATCGCTGGTAGCGCACTAGGTAAGATCCTCAGTGGGCAATTCTGTCGTATTACAAGTACGAACTGAAAGTTTAATCTTAAAATCGATTTCGCCAATCTGTACTGTAATCTAGAACATAGTTGATCCCCTGTTATAGTTGATTTCTGTTGTCATAACTTAACATTGTGTAAGTGGATCGGAGTCAGTCGAGGGTATTTTGCGTAGTCAAAGCTGCATGTACCGGGAAACCTGTGAAAGTATTTTCTCTATCTAGACTAAAATTACAATCTAATTTGTTTCTTTTTATAATTTTAAAATAAATTTTTGGTTTTGGCGGTAATATTTTTGTAGGCATAAATTTGTAAAATTTGGCAACCCTGATTTGGATAGTTAACTAGCACAAACATTAGTTACCTCTACTACAACGTTACCTCATTGACAATTAACACTTAATATCCTCTTTTTTAATGGAAAATGCCTACGCATTTAAATTAGGATATTTCCCTCTGTTCTACTCCTCAGGGTATGCGCGCCGGAACACTCGCACGTCTTCCTATACGGCCTCGATTTCCACTTGTGCAACGAGACTCCCCGTGCACGTTATGCGGAATCCGTTAGGTCAGAGCACGTGCTGCACGCGGAAGCACCAACTTTCCCAGATCTTCAGAAATCCTCCAGTGGCGAATTTGGTCCATGGTTCCGCTGCTACCCAAGTTTCGGTCGTAGCGTGGTCTTGCCCTCGCGGCCCCACAACCACCGCATCAGTGGTGTAGCCTCGCGGAGGAATAGACGAATGATATCGTTCCATACCCAATCCCAATCCACTTGGATCGGAGCGGCCACATCTAGAGTTCTAGAACCGACCTTTAAGGTTCCTCTTAGTTCAGCGTGGGTGACCAAGTCACGACTACTAAGACCCCCCCCCCTCGTAAGGTCAAAGCGGGAACCATTTCGGGGGGAGGGGTTGACCCACTACCTACATTATAATTTATAACGCAACGTAAGATAAACTACGTGTTGAATAATGATTTCTTAAATTTTCACTTATTCAATATCACTTATTTAATTTTACTCAATGACTTGTTGAAGTGAACTTACATAATGGTGGGCATATTTAGCATCTAATGTATATTTACACCATTTCAGACTCCTTTTCTATGATCTGCTCGAAAGCTGCGCATCTGTGGGCTATGAAATGTGTATCCCATTCAGCAGATATTTTATTTTAGGGAATAAACAGTCACACGATTCTAAAGCACATAAGATGACCCAAAAGCTTAACCGGTGTGCGGCAAACTCGTCATGGTGAAACAGTGGCTCTCGGAGCCACTGCCGGTGGTGTTCAGTCGCTTATTATTATTACTCACAGCAGTGAACTCTTCTTACTAAAATTTAATATAATACCTACTACCTACTTACTTCGATATCGTAAGGGTCTATCAAACAGGAAGCGGTCACGCGTTTAAGCATTCCGCGTTCGCGTTTTGCGTTCGAGCGTTCAGTTGCTCATGAATCACGAACGCCTATATTCCGGTCTGAGAATGGTTTTACTGGGTCCACTATAGTGACGATTTCAAGGATCTATGTCGCAAAAGTACAAGTTGTGCGGCTGTGACGGGACCTCAGACTCGTAGTAGAGGTGCATTGAAATTGTACAATGTTGGTAAAGTGAAATTCGTAACAAATATTTCATGGTTGTGACTTCACTATGTGGCCAGAAGTCTTCGCCATTCAAAATCAAGAAGTTTTAACAGTTGCAGATAAAATAGTTCATGAAATCTTCGGTCGTTTTGGAGTACCTTTAGAGATTCACAGCGATTAAGGAAGGAATTTTGAGTCTCATACATTCCGGGAAACTTGCTGAGTTATGAGTACTCATAAAACAAGAGCAGCTTCTTACCACCCGCAATCTGATGGAGTAGTTGAACGATTTAATTAGACATTGCAGAGGTACCTAGCAAAAAACGAGATTGGGACAAGCACATACAACCGTTTCTGTTGTCATATCAAAGCGTTGTTTACGAAAGTTCATCAGTGACAACAACTTTCGCAAACTATGGAAGAGAATTACAGCCGCCTGCAGACATGACCACTGGAAAACCACCTTCCGCTGACGACATCGCTCGAGTCCCGCGTCCACGTACAATGAATCTGTCACGTGACGGGTCGCGGGGTGATCTCACTCTGTAAATTTGGGGCTAATTCACAGTATCTATAAACCTGGCTCGACGGCTATCCCCTTTCGGTGTTCTCTTCGGCTGCAATAAAACACTACTACAAGTTCAATTCTTACTCCAGAACCAAGAATCTCTAACGTTTCGCTTTTCAACTCCTCACATTATCTATCATCTGGGCTAAGTATATGCGAAACGTTCCGTCCATCCATTTCCCGAAAATTGTGAGCCAATAATTCAGAAGATTCGACGGTCAGAATGCCTGCTGTCTGGGTGTGTCTATATAACGTAATACAAAACAATGAACGTAGAACGCGAATGCGGAACGCTTGAACGCCTGAACGCCTTCTGTCTGATAGATCTGTAAAGGAAAAATAGCTATCAAAATCTTCGTTGCGCTTTTCTAGGTCTCGTTGGTAGGTGTTGGTCCAAGTAATCCAAAATTTATCACCTGTAACAATGTCGTAAACAGGCTGCTGCTTTAAATTTGGTAATCATTTCACGGCATCAAGTAGTAGATAATGTTACATGTGTATTATTAATAATATTTTTAAAAGTAGTACCACCTGCTTAACATTTTTACTGTCCGGTTTCCAGACAATGGTAAGACAACAGCAATATTATACTATATGTGGCTCAGGGGACAGTGAATGTGTTAACAAGAGTAAATGCTATTATTGTTTAGGGAGTATTATACGAACTTAATTGAGATGTACAAATGGCTTTCCGTTTATCGTGTCAGTAAGGGAACTTATTACGAGAATCAAATCATTAACAGAAGTTTTGGTTTCAGACGGGGCGACTTGATTTCAACGCGAGTCGTGTAACGGGCCATAAAGGTCCGGTGCTTGACATCAAGTGGAATCCGTTCAACGACAACATCATCGCTTCGTGCTCCGACGACTGCACGGTAATTTTGAAGCATTCAGTTAAATATCTGCGCAATTTGACAATCGTTCAAGATTATAATATTTTTAGCATACGCGAGATTATAAATCCGGCATTTACAAGCTCAAGCTTAATTATAAAATCAGAGCTCAGAATTTATTTTTTGCAACTACAATTTATTTCGTATATTTTTTCCCAATTTGTGACATAATAAAACAATATTTTGTAATTTGTAGTTGTATTATGAATATTTTACAATAAATTTACGACGTGTATCGTTCATGCTGCAACTTTTTTTTATAGAATAATGGTTACAAACTAGCACACACCTGATGGTAAGTGGATGCTTTGGCCCATAGACATCTACATTTATCCTCGATTAATAAACAAAATGCAGATGCGTTGTCACCCCTGAGGACTAAGATGAGATGCCTCGTTTCCAGTAAAAAAGGCTCTCCGGATCTCTACACTCACCATACGGAACACAGAAGTACTAAGCTGCTTTTTTACGCTGATATTCTGTGAGAACGGAGTCCTTCCCCGGTCGAGCCGACCCATTCGTGCTACAACCGTAATTTAGCTGCAGTGTGGCGCTACCACGTATAAAACTGGTCGCTGCAGTTCTTATTCTATAAGAATCAAAAAAGGGGGTAACACTAGTGTAGAAATGAGTAAGTCGAACTAATAAAACACGAGGAACATCATTTCTAGTAGGTACTCAGGAGTGAAAACCAGTAATATGCGTTGTCTCAACTGCTTTATCTACTTATACAACTACATCTATCTTGACTGGCAGAATGAGGAAGCTCAAGGTCGCTTAACGAGCTATGCTAGGAGTTTTGCGTGATAGACTTCAAAATAAGGATATCCGCAGTGGAACCAGAATAAGCGATACTTATAATCCAACTGACAGATAAGTTGAAGTGGCAATGGGCCTGCCAAAATAGCTTAAAAATTTGACAACCGATGGCAAAGAAAGTACAGGGCGATCCACCACTAGATAGAGTGAGATATGCAGAAAATCGATTGGTACAGGTGGCTCATGACTATGCTTTGTAATAGTGTTCCTTGGGGGAGGCTTATCTTCATCTGTGGTCTTGAAAGGTCAGAGATAGATGTCATCATCATCATAATCAATGATGATGATGACATTTATCTTTACAAATAATATTGTTAGGCGAACTTTTGGCACCTAATATAGGCAAGATATTTGATTAAGAGGTGTCTTTAATCACCACCTGTAAATGAAGACAATATGTTATCGAAATAAATTATTATTATTATTATTATTACTGTGCAAACAATAAACTGTTTCTAGTTGCATATTTTTTTCGCGAAAAAATAAATTATAGTCATACTTTTAGTTGTATTTACATTTTTACTCGTTGTCCTTTATGTAAAAATTAAATGTTGATGCGTAAAACTTTATGGCGGCAGGTATTCTTTTAATAGTAATTGATTTTAAAAGGTTTTTGAAGTACCCACAAACGAGGCAAGTAAGTACTTTCAAAAATGCTATCTGTTACATATCGGTCGCTCTATCGCGGTATCGCGCGATATAGAATGTTGTAAGTCTTGGAAGCAATTCCCTACATTTCCTTTTTGAAATATTGTTTCGGGCGATAACGTTTCACCTTTACGAAATGAGACAATTTTGGTCTCATTAGATTCAGTTCACCTTCATCTAGGTGTGTACGTTTTTCGTTTTTAGTAATTTAGTCTATTAAAAAATACTAATACAAAGCTTATAACTTATATCATACGCAATATTTCTTTTACGGTGGCCCTACATTATCGCCGTGAATTCGCGCGCGAATTCAAGCCATGAATTCACGGCACAAGTCGTACCTTCAACATTCACGGGATGCTCACAATCGTTCGTGAAACCTGCCGCGAAACGGACGTAGAAGCTGCTGCTGCAATAACATTTGCTGTGGCAACATATCACTATTTAGACAAACGAGAAATTAGAAAGCGTTGGAAGAAAAGAATACAGTGTATGACTAAAATACATCGTCCGTACGCCTTTGTAGTCTGAAACGAACTGGCACGGGGCCGTGAATGTGGATGCGTACGCGTGAACTCCGCGCGAATGGTGCGTGAACCCTTTGTCGCGGGACAAAACACCGAGTTTGATCGGGGAACAGGCGTGAACGCGCGTGAATCCCGCGAAAACCACACATTCCACACTCACGTTCCACATTCACGTTCAAGCCTGTTTACGGAGCTTCACGGTAAAATAAAATCGTAGGGACCTAGTTTTTCATTACATCTACAACATTTCTAAAAATTACTTTATACACTATTTTTACAGGTGGAAATACGTTATCGCTTTTTTATGAAAATTTACAGCTTCGCAATTCTCTTGAGTGTTATTTGTGCTATAGTTTTAAAGGAGCCAACTCATTAAGATAGTCTTAGTTGACTCTTTTTATATCTTGTACCTTTGTTTAATATACTAAGTACGTGGTAGTTTTGTAAATAGACTGCTTTCACTTGTTTGTATAATACTGAACAATTGCCGTCGATACGTAACGTCTATTGTTTTCACGTAACTTTTAATTAGGTTCTCTTTACTAGTATCGCTTTATGTAGGAAATTGCCACCATACTAATAATAATTGAAAGTGTTATAGTTATAGGCTTTCACATGCTATTGGATTTTTTTATTTCTCGAGCCATTCAGGTTGCTTCACTATATTTTCTGCACCGATGAACAGGTGTTAAATCGCACTTAAAATTGCGATCAATTTCAGTTGATCGGTGTAGATCAAACTCGTATAGCTTTATGTATTTAGATTGTAGTTCCATCTTAGTATTGAAGGGTCATGTTATACATCTAAATTTTGATTCTTATATCGAGAATAAAAGTTTTCCTTGGGCCCATAGCGTCCATTTACTCGTACTATCGGATGTACTGTGTGCTCGTTTTTCACCCTTGTATAAAAAATGTAGGTTAGATGGTATCTTTTTAAAGAGTTAGCTAATGGTTGTTAACTAATGGTTCAATTTAATTATAGCTTTAGTAAAGTAACGACCTACATACGCCACTTATTAGGCTGGGCACAGGCCTTTTCTCATTTCTTTCTTCTTATCATCATCACCATCACTACAGCTCTAAGGAATGCCACAAAGTACGTTCTCAAGTATGTATCAATTGACTTACCTACATCTTTTCCCAGTCGTCCCTTCATCTCGGGGGCCTACACTTCGCTTACGGTACGAGGCTACCACTCGAGACCCTTTCTTCTCCTTCGGTTGTCGGTTTTCGAGCTATATTTCTGATCTAAACGTGGTCTTGTGCCGTTACCGTTTTAAAGAATCCATCACCACTTTTGGTCCTATGGTTGTCCGATTTACAATTACGACATACGACATACATATTATACTAAAACTGTTGATTATAATTGCAGGTGAAGTTATGGCACATTCCGGACGGTGGACTATCCATGCATTTGACGGACTGGTTGGTGGAGCTGCACGGCCACAAGCGACGCGTCGCCTATATCGAGTGGCATCCAACGGCTGAAAACATACTGCTTAGCGCCGGCTTTGACTATTTGGTAAGTTTTGGTAGTTATGTCAAGTATAATGTAGACATACATTTCCCAATCCCCCCCCTTAACATGGTAGCGGAATTAAATGAAGAACTACCCCAGGAGGGTACCAGCACCCCTGGTGACGGAGAATCCCTCGCTGAGAATCCACGACCAAGTTATCCTACTCTTTCTGAGCGTGGGTGCTCAGGCTGCCCCACTTATCCTGGTGGGGGGTGCCATTCCGCTCGCGACAATAACTGCTCGGGGCAAGCGGAGCAACAACACCAAGGTGACCCCTGCCACGCTATCCGTGAATTTTCGCAACATCAGGGGACTTCATTCCAACCTTAACGCCGTCTAGTGGGCTGCACTAAAAGTATCGGGAATGGAATATTTCCACTGTTCCTGTCGTATTAAAATCTTTTTAATTGAAAACTCCTTGGTTTTAAAAATCGAATACCATATTTATTTAAAAAAAGATTCTCGGTCTTGTCACAAGGTTTTGTCAAACTTGTTTAGTCGTTGAGAAAATGCAATTGACTCGAGAAAATTCAATAGCGAGGATTTATTATGACTTTCGAAGTGGTTTAACACAAAAACAGTGTGTTGACCGGATGATTTCTGCATTTTGTGATGAAGCCCCATCCAAAACCACAATTTATCGCTGGTTTGCTGAATTTCAACGTGGACGTGTCAAGCTCGGTGATGATCCTCGTCAAGGTCGTCCAAAAACTGCAGTCACCCAAGAAAACGTTGATGCTGTGCGTAAGCTGATTGAGGAAGATCGCCATGTGACATAACGCGAAATTCAGGCAACTTTAGACATTGGCATGAGTCAAATACAAATAATCTTGCATGAACAATTAGGTGTAAAAATGTTGTTTTCCCGATGGATACCGCATTCGCTCTGTGAAGATCAAAAAGCGGCTCGCGTTCTTGGTGCGTCAGAACTCTCGAAAGATTCCACGCAGGATCCTCAAATGCTGTATCGAACATCGTATCGGGTGACGAATCCTGGATATACGCGTACGAACCCGAAACAAAAAACCAGTCACGAGTTTGGGTGTTCGAAAATGAGTTAAAGCCAACAAAAATTGTTCGTTCACGGAGTGTTACAAAAAAAAAATGGTGGCCACGTTTGTCTCCAAAACCGGCCATGTTACGACTGTTCTTCTTGAGGGACAAAGAACGGTTAATGCAGAATGGTATGCTAGCATTTGTTTGCCACAGGTCGTTTCTGAACTCCGTAAAGAGAACTGCAACCGCCGCATCATCCTCCATCACGACAATGCGAGTTCTCACACCGCACACAGAACAAAAGAGTTATTAGAGCAAGAAGACATAGAATTATTAGACCATCCGCCGTACAGCCCCGACCTAAGCCCTAATGATTTCTATACTTTTCCTAAAATAAAGAATAAATTGCGTGGACAGAGATTTTCATCACCTGAAGAAGCTGTGGAGGACGCCTACAAAACGGCCATTTTGAAGACCCCAACTTCCGAATGGAATGGTTGCTTCAATTATTGGTTCCATCGTATGGAAAAATGTGTCAAATTTCGCGGAGAATACTTCGAAAAGCAATAAATACATTTTTAAATCGTAATGTTGTGTCTCTTCCTTGATTCCCGAAATTTTCAGTGCCGCCCTCGTACTACCATCTGGTGACGGTGAAGCCGGCCTTTCTCTTTTTAACCGAGACTCAGGTGTCTTCTCCGGCTGATACTTCATATCTCTCCTACCCGGGGTACAAATTGGAACATTCGTTTGTGTCCCGGGTTGGGGTTTGCATATACGTCAGAAATGACATCTGTTCCGACGCCTCGGCAGTCTTGAAGTTACGGACCTGTCCATCCTATGGCTGCGCGTAGACAGCGACGACCATCCGCGCGTCTACGGTTGCCTCTATAGGTCCCATAGCGGTAATACCGGAACAGACCGACTCCTTAACCACGTCTAAATGGCTACAGATTCCGTGCTACAACAGATCTCATCCGCAGATATCGTAAACCTTGGCGATTTTAACGCCCACCACGCCGAATGGCTCGGTTCACGTTTAACCGATCATGCGGAGAGATCTGTTTATGACTGCTTTTTTTATAGAAGAGGGGGCAAACGAGTATGCGGCTCACCTGATGTTAAGTGACTACCGCCGCCCATGATCAACCGCAACACCAGGGGAATTGCAGGTGCGTTGCCGGCCCTTTAGAAAGGAGTAAGCTCTTTTCTTGAAGGTCCCCAGGTCGTATCAGTCCGGAAAAATCGCTGGTGGTAAACTATTCCACAGAGAGGTTGTACGCGGAAGAAAACTCCTTTTGAAACATACTGTGGTGGACTGCCAAGCATCCAGATGGTGTGGATGGTATCGGGACGTTTGCCGCGTAGTGCGTTCACGAAATTTGGCGGCTGGGATTAATCCGAACAATTCCTCAGAGCACTCTCCATGGTATATGCGAAATAAAATGCAGAGATGCAACATCTCTTCGCAGTACCAGTGAATCGAGCCGATCTGAAAGCACTCGGTCGTCGACGATTCGAGCCGCTCTGCGCTGGATGCGGTCAAGTGGTAGGAGCTGGTACTGGGGAGCCCCAGCCCAGAGATGGGAACAATATTCCATGTGCGGCCGAACCTGCGCCTTGTAAAGTCGCAGGCGGTGTGCCGGCATGAAATACTGTCCCGCTCTGCTGAGCACGCCAAGCTTTTTAGAGGCCAATTTGGCTTTCTCTTCCAAGTGACCACGAAACTGCACGTCACTCGATATGTCAACGCCGAGGATTCCGATACTGGCTGAGGCAACAAGGGGGAGTGCCTTGAAACTGAGGAGATACGACAAAGGGGTTCTTTTTAGCGGTTAACGCGCAAACTTGTGTCTTCTGGGGGTTAAACTGGACTAGATTTAGTCGCCACCAATCCGAGACTGTTCAGCAAAGACTCGACTTCAGACACAAGTTTGTCCCGGCACTCGGAGACGTTTTCCCGAGAAATATTGGCTCGGCCGGTGTAAAGAGCATCACCAGTGCTGTCATCTGCATAGCAATGAATGTTACGGGTTTGCAACATATCATTGATATGCAGAAGAAACGGCGTTGGCGATAGCACGCAGCCTTGAACATTGGAACACCAGCATTAATAGGCTTGCAATCGGAGCTTGCACCGTCTACGACTTTGATGCTCCGATCTGCAAGAAAGCTGGTGATCCAATCGCACAATTTCTCGGGAAGTCCATAGGAAGGGAGCTTCGAAAGAAGCGCTTTATGCCAAACCCGATCGAAGGCCTTCGATGCTTTGGCATATGGTCTGACACAACTGGTTACTGCACCTACGCGGATTCCAGATGTGGAAGATCATACACCTTCCTTGTTGGACCTTCTGCTGACCTCTCATCCGGACAGATATCAGGTTTCCGTCGACGCCCCTTTAGGCTCGTCGGACCGTTGTCTTGTCTGGAGTGTCTATAAGCAAGAGTGCTAGTGGGCCTGGGCTGACGCATCATCAACTCGTGATGTAAACACCAGCGCTCTTTAAAAGAAGTATAATTCCGCCTCCAGGTCCTTCAAAAGAGTCATTGCCAAGGCAAGGTTAAGCTAGTTCGTCTTCCTTTGGGAACCCGTGCATTCTGGTCTCTCGCCAAGGCTGTCCAAGGGAACTTCTGTCAGTCATCTCTTCCATCTCTGCACAGAGAGGACGACTCACTGGCCCATGCCGCAAAGGAGAAAGCCGATCTGTTAGGCTCTCTCTTTGCGTCCAACTCGACTCTCGATGACGGGGGGAAAACACCGCCAACCATCCTGCGGTGTGAGTGCTCCATGCTGGATGTGCGGTTTACACAGCGCTCTTCTCCCTGGACGTCAGTAAGTCAAGTGGGTAAGTCCTTCCCATTGTGCTGAAGACGTGTACTCCGGAGTTGGTACTAGTTTTAATGCGTCTTTTCCGGTACTCCCACTCCTAAGGCGTTGTCCCGAATTCTTGGAAGACAGCTTTGATCCACCCAATCTCTAAAAAAGACGACCGCTCAGACCCGTTCAGCTACAGGCCTATCGCCATCACCTCCTTGTTCTCTAAAATAATGGAGTCTATTGTAAACTGCCAGCTCATGAGGTACCTTGAGGATCACCAGCTGGTCAGTGACCGCAAATACGGTTGCCGTCGTGGTCGGTCAGCTGGTGATCTTCTGGTCCTACCTTACTCATAGACAGGCTGAGGCAGTAGAGTCCAAGGGGGAGGCAGTGGCCGTAAGTTTGGACATAGCGTAGGCCTTCGATCGGGTCTGGCACAAAGCGCTTCGTTCGAAACTCCCTTCCTATGGGCTTCCCAAGAAATTGTGCGATTGGATCACTAGTTTTCTTGCTAATCGGAGCATCAAGTTCGTAGTAGACGGTGCATGCTCCGATTACAAGCCAATTAACGCTGATGTTCCACAAGGCTACGTGCTATCACCAACGCCGTTTCTTCTGCATATCAGTGATATGTTGCAAACTGATAACATTCATTGCTATGCTGACGACAGCACTGGTGATGCCTTATACACCGGACGTGCCAATATTTCTCGGGAAATCGTCGCCAAATACCGGGACAAACTTGTGCCTGAAGTCGAGTCTTTGCTTAATAAAGTCTCGGATTGGGGGCGACTAAAACTAGTCCAATTCAATCCCCAGAAGACTCAAGTTTGCGCGTTAACCTCTAAAAAGAACCTTTTTGTCGTATCTCCTCAGTTTGAAGGCACTCCCCTTGCTGTGTTTGTAGTGTTTGACCCGTGTAGTTAGAATAGGGACGGAATTGTGACTGGGGATGAAACTTAGGTTCATCACTACGAACCTGAGTCAAAGCCAGGGTCCATGCAGTTGCATAAAAAAGTAGCACCGATTATACCGACATAAGAAGTTCAAAGTGTCACAATCGACTGGAAAGATTATGGCTGTAATGTGCTGATGTGTGTGTGTCGTTCAAAACGACCAGACGTTTGTCGATGTTAACGGATAACAGCGATAATGCTCGGGATCACGCAATATTAAACGTTTCTTAGTAAAGCAATTCCATCGCGTGTCGCGTTTACTTGCATTAATTGATTATTCCGCGCATCATTACCGAAGCTATACCGCGGTCGGTCATTTTGTATTTGTAACCAACACGGCTACATGCCGTGTTGGTTACAAATGCTATATATAATCAGGTTAATATTTATATACTAGTCTTCTTGATTATAAATAACAAAGGATAGCTTATCCTAAAATAACTTAAACTAAATTATGGAAATAGACAAAAATATAGAATGGAAAACCACGTGTAGTCGTTAGACAAATGCTCAAGTGTCACATTATAAAACTGTTCCGATAATATATCACGACATTGTTGTGTTAATATAATGGTTAATGTCTGGGTAAACTGTAGTCACAAAAACACATAGAATGCGGTACACAAATGAAACGAGGGTAGCTCGATTTATTTGCTCAAATACTTATTAAAGTGTAGTTTCTAAATTATCATTTCCTCTATAAAAACAAAAAGCGGAAATTAGTTTCTTATTTATGTATAGAGTAGAGTATTATGGGAATATTAAAGGCAGTGGCGGCGCAAGACCTAAATTTGATGTGGGCAAAATACATTTTGCGAGGCCCTCTGCCCGCGAAGAAGACGGATTATATAAAATGAAAAACAAACCACTTGAAATTATGAAATTTTTATTTTTAAAAAATCATTAAGTACCAACACCAAACAATTTCAAAGAAAAATAAAGAAATAGATATTCTGCTTTTTATCCTGATGAATTGTTTAATTATAGCCTCATAATCCAGCTTGGATTGAAAGTCTTTTCTGTGACATTGCACTCCTGAGATAATTTTTAATGAGAACTAATTTTAAGAAGCTTCCTTCAGCGGAGGCTGTTCTAATCGGTATTGTTAAATGATGATGTAAATGTTTGGATATATTTTTTTAAATTATTTTCTGTAACTTATTGGAGAATCTGTTTCACATCTGTTACGAAGTTACGTAAATTTGAGATCATTAATTGTAATTCTTCACATAATTTGTAAGGTTTAAAGTCACTGCTTTCACCTACTCGCAGGGCTGTATGTCTTGACAGTTATTTTAATATTGGATGGTTTGGAATATTTTTTTAACTTATTGAAATCATAAAAGAAACCAAAATTTTAAAGCCATAAATCTCAAACCCATATTTGTTATAATTGAACAAGCATGGTGTTGAAAAAATCTGTTTAATACCGACTTTTAGAAGACTGTATAGGTTAATCCTTGCCTTCATAATCCAATATCTTTTTCTTTTTGGCTACTCTTTTATTTTAAAAATTTTTTGCCAATTCGTAACAGTTTTTTTCAACGTTTCAAAGTGTTAAATACCAGACATGCATTTTTCGAAACAAGTTTGTCGATATTCTTTAAGCCAGTCACAAAATGTACTTAAACGTTCTAGAGCTTTAATTTGTCTTCACCTATAGTAACAACCCTACCAAAATAGGTAACAATTTTGCAAGTTCTTAAGAAGCTTTGTGTCTGTTTCATTTATCTTCTCATGTGCGTACAGCGCGAAAATATGCGTACAGCAACCACGTGGGCTGCTAAAACGCACTCTTTACTCGATTGCTACGCGCCCACGATTAAATAAAGTCAGTATTCTATGTCTAACAAACATGGAAACGGGGAATCCTCAGTTTTGTCGCCACCATAGATTACTGTATATATACTGGGCGCCCCGTAGCGGGGATTCCCCGCAATAGCAACGCAAACTAATGTTGCTAGACTGAATAAAAACATCTTTAGTTATGTCAATAATATCGATTCATGACTATGAAATTTTTTCGACGCGTTTACGGTTTTAAGTAATGCATAAACCTCCAGGGCGCGAGGGCCCCTGGATCGCGAGGCCGTAGGCAGTGGCCCACGTCGCCCACACCTTACGCCGCCTCTGATTAAAGTTTCCATAAAACATTCTTAATTTAAAGTAAGTTTAAGTTCAGTTGTTAAAATATCACTCTCGATCTACATATTTAAAGCACCACCATCACAATCTAATTATTTAAATTATGTATTTAATTTTTTTTTAATTGATCTTATAAAAATTATTATGTATAGATTATGTACTCATTAGCATTTTAATTCTAGAAAATAGTACCTAAGCCGGTCGCGCAGCCAGCGCCAAGTGCTAGCTTTGCTCGGTTTAAGAAAAAATATATTTGTCTCAGGGACTACAGCGACAGTAACTTAAATACACTTGGAAAATAAAACATACCTAATTCGAAATTTCATCCAAATCGTTAGAGAGAGAGGGAGAAAATGAAAGGGTAACTTTTATATTATACCAATATTTTTTATTTCATTTTAATTATTCAAAAAAGTTTTACATAGGTTTGATAGTATTTCGATAAAACAATGATTTTCTGTAAATATATTCTAATCATAGTTAAAAAGTCCTTAAAGTGGAATAAAATGTACGTAACTGCAAACAAAACTTTTCATTGGCCCATAATAATTTATTTATGCCCAGCGGTGTGACCGTGTGGATTAGTATACATAAAGAAAAAAAATTAAAAAAAAATTAGTACATTGCAAGATTCGAACTCACGCACTCCGACATGCTAAACCTACGAAGAATACAAATTTGCACAGAGATGAGACAATTTCATCGAAATCGTTTATAAATATTACCCGTATAATGGGAATTACAGGATTATAAATAATCTTTATAAGGATTTCAATGAAATGGAAAAAATATTAGTATATAGGTAATAAGTCTCATCTCGGTGAAAATTATACGGTGTATAATCTGTACCTTGCGCGTATATCAACGTATTCGGGGTTTTTGGCCGGAACTTGGCCGTCGACGGATTGTCGCTCCTGTTGTGTCGCTTGAATAATGGTTTAAAGTGGATTTTAAATCGGAAAAGTGGTGTGATTTTGTGAATTAAATGCGTGTGACTGTTAGAGAAAACGACGAAACAAGTGCTTTGATGTTGATATAAACCTCAAGTTAATTTGATCGCTTGGGCGCCTTATGAACTTGAGTGGCTGTCGTCATCAACTGTCCGTGGGGTTAAGCTGTCGTCAAAATCTCCTAAAAATTTCGCAATGTGACGCATTAGCATATTGTGAAGAAAAAATATATAAAAATGAAGATACAAATATATAAAAAAACAAATGTTAGGCTTAGAAGGGCTAGAACCCAGAGCCGTAAAGCAAGTTAATAAAAAATCAATGTATTCGGCCTATTTTATTTATTTTAATTTTCAATAGTTTTTATTACAGCAAAAATCATTCATTCATTACGTCCTAGCAGCATCTCAATTGCTATAGATCGGCAGCACTGAGAGACCACATATCATTTCCATATGTCATCACTGGCAACTGGCAACACGCAGTGGTTGCATACTCATGTTTTTAGGTTTTAAAGGATACGTGACGAATAACGTCACCCCGTCTTACACCTCTGCAGTTAGATAGGTTTCGTACTTTGTTTTTTATTCGGATAGCCATTGTAGTTCTACTGTATAAACCCTACATTACTTTGATATACCGGCAGTCAATTTGGCACTGCTGTATCGACTATAACACCACCCAAATTTTGACAGAATTAAAGTTTTTCTCATAATGTGCAAGACAAAGTAGCAGATTGTACTTTTATGTTTTGTGGCAATGGGTGTGTAATGTGTATATTATGGTCTGTGGTACTAAAATCTTTTCGAAAACCGGCTTGTTCGGGAAGCTGGAAGATGTCAATTTTGCGTAGGCTAAGGACTGTAGTTCTTCAGTTAGAGCGTTGTCGCCTGTCTATAAGAATAAAAATATCACACTTCTACTCCACGTCTCCGCAGTAGCGACTTGAATTACTTGCTTATTAATTACCTATATTAAAAATCAGTAATTATATTATAACAAACATAAATAATAATTATACTAAACTACTATTAAAGCGCGTAAAAGTATCAAAGCAAACAAAAGAAAAAAATTATGAAAAAGTAAAACTAAGAATATATTCTGATTCCGGGATATGGTATTAAACAGATCTCCGACTTAACATAATGCTATAAATTACGTCGCAGCGATGGTTTTTAGTTGAAAGCTGACCTTACCGATGAGTCTTTGTGTTATCCTCGAATTGTTAATTATTTTCTACGCTTTAGGAGCTAACAGATATTAATATAATATTATAGATTATACGTAATCATTATATTATATATTTTTCAAATTATTAGGATGTTATGTTTTGGATAGGATTTACCTATATTTACACATAATTGGTTTTATTCAATGTTCAATGCACGTAATATGTGCGTAAATATGACAAAATCATGATTAAGAAGTGTAACATAAATTTGCAGATAATAGTGTGGGATGTGGGCAAAGGGGAAGCGGTGAAGGTGATCGATTGCCACAGCGACGTAATCTACTGCATGTCGTTCAACCGCGACGGCTCGCTGCTGGCCACCACCTGCAAGGACAAGAAGCTGCGAGTGATCGAGCCCAGGCGGGGCATTGTATTGTCTGTGAGTTATATGTAATGGTAACACTATGTACGAAATCGCCAAATAAGTATAATTTGGTCACTCCGTAACATATAACACAACTTTAGTATATAGAATCTCTGTCTATAGAATATATACTACTACAAACCCGAAGTTCAAATATTGATTAAATTGTAAAAAATGTAATTTCATTCCTTAAAATAAAGATCTGATTAGGTATATCATAGAGTACATTGTAAATCTCGTACATTGGGAACAATACTAGTATCTCAAAGGTATAAAGCTACATATTAAAATTTTTACCTCATGAAAACAACATTACTACATGAGACGTTGCATTTCAATCACACATCTCAATACAGTTAACTAGTTTAGTAAATTCAGTGATTCAGCCGAATATTCAGTTGATTCGACAGTTTTACTGAATGTTCGTAACATTCAGTAATACTACCGTATATACCGAATTCTTTAATCCTAAAAAATGTACAAAAATCGAACATATTTTTTTGCAGGAAGGTCAGTGCCATCAAGGTACGAAAGCGTCGAAATGCACATTCCTGGGCGGGCAGGGAAAAGTGCTGACCACAGGCTTCTCCCGGTACAGCGACAGGCAGTATGCAGTGTGGGACCAACATGATTTGTCCAAGCCACTGGTTTGTGAAACCATCGACAGCTCCTCTGGCGTCGTCTTTCCTTACTATGACTATGATACAAACATGGTAAGTTTTTCCTTTACCTTTCTAGACTTTAAATGGGTATGTATAAAGCTTAACCACATGGGTTGTTTCGTACGGTAAGGTTGGTGTGATTCATTCCACACTGAGATTCCATTGCCGAACTTATTTATTAAATGTTTATTAATTAACAGATTTCCAACTGAACCTTGACTAAAATTATGGTTTAAAAGCATAAATATTGTGAATTGGCGTCCGAAACAAAATGATCATCTTTGTTCTAAATATTTCACAGACGACTGTTTTATTAGACATGAGAACCGCCAACACTTTGTGTTATTAGCACCGGACTGTATACGTCTTCGATCAACAATTCCAACTAGATGTCGGGTCGACGCAAGAAATCCATCTAAGTAAATAACAGCGCACATGAGACGTGAGCTCTTGTTTCGTTTAGTTCACTTGAAACACACCAATACGTCCAATGCCGCAATGTGTATTTAAAAGTTGCAAGAATAATGCCCGAAAAAATAATTTAACGGCCGGAGTGTCTTACTTTCGGTAATTACATGTATAATATGGTTATATTTTAAGCTCTAAACTAACAAAAAATATCATATTTTAAACAAAATTACCGATCAAAACTACCCCTACAAATGTTTTGCCAATGTTGACCAATACACGCGCAAACATTTGTGAAACAGAACATGGACGCATGAAGTAGATTTGTATTGTAATAATTTTTAATAATTCGTTACCAAAACTTTAAATAATGGTAATTGCTACTTTTGTCTTTGTTTGTGTAATTCCAATAGATACTTAGATTTTTTTAGCTATCCTAGCTTTCTTCCTCGGTCGAGCCGACCCATTAGTGCTACAACTATACTACTAATATAATTGCAGCATGGTTCTACCACGTTTTAAAAGTATGAAATGGGCGATCTTATTGCTGACAGCAATTTCTTCCAGACAACCAATAAATGGACAGGATTACATGAAGATGACAGGAGTAGGGCAAATTGGTGTGATAATAACAATGATCATACATACTACGAACATACATACATACAAAAACTAAAATAGATATATATTGAATTAGTTAATTAAATGCAACCATTAAACTACATAATATATTATATTTAATGGCTAGTGTGGAAAGTATGTATACCAACAATCATAAATGCCCAAATCAAAAAAAGTTTTTAATTAAACTTATGATCATATTATAAATTATTTTAGTGTTGAACGTTACTCAATACTTTATGGACAAAATTCGAAGAACAAAACAGAAACATAACAAAATGACGTAGCTCGCAAGGCAATAACGGGAAAAAGAACTTTATTTGTTACTTGTTAAGGTTGATTTAACACCAAAGGTTATGCCTTTTCATTTCCAAGTGATAGGAGTATTGTATAGCTTTGTTCTTTTTTTGTGACTAATGATCGTAAGATTTGTGACTTTATTACTAGATGCGATGGTTGTAAATAGGTTGAGCTTAAAACTATTTTAATTTTTTGTCTCATTTCTTTAGTAAACAAATGTAGCTGTTTAAGTTTATATTCACGCGGACAGTATTTAACTATGATTTTGTACGTGACCCGTTATCTAGTTGCTATTGTTGATCGAAGGTATACGTAAATAAAAACCAAAAATCCAAAGCCCAACATTGCACTTACAGTCAATCGATTGTAAAATAATTAATATTTTAGTTTAAAGTAAAATTTAAAAAGTATTACCATTACAGTCAAAGTCCACTGCTGAACTAAGGCCTTCAATGTGATCATACAATGTATGGGACATTGTCTCATATTATGGGAGATATAGGACACGTGTTGTAGTTGTCTCGCTCTTGCGGTCTATCAACCCCAGTATTTTTTATTATTTTATGTTGTTATCAGGAAGGCACTGCTGTCCGTTATCTTATTTAGATTTTATTTAGTTTCTCATATAAAGTTGAATGCGTAATTTTTACAATGACTTGACTTGCTTAGATTAAACAATGAGCTGTGTTCTTACACGTATACTATAATTAATATAATAAATAAACGCGTTAGATAATCTATAGCCCCATTTCCGGAGGTGATATAAGAGGCCATGATGGGAAATTACCGAAAAATCTTATGGCTTTTGATAGCTGAAAATATAATATCTTTATATTATAACTTTTTATTCCTTTCATCTGTGGTACCTATCGGAGGCAGAACCCAGCCATGGTTTGGTCGTTCCTGCAAAATTGAATAACGCCATATACAAGAGTGCTACCAGGCCTGGGCTTACGCATCGACGTCTCGGGACCAGCGCTCTTAAAAATAATATAATTCCGGCCCCAGGTCCTTCAAAAGTGTCATTGCCAAGACAAAGTCAGAGCACATCGGCTAAATTGGCGAGGCACTAATTCGACTTCCTTCGGGAGCATTCCGGTCTCTCGCCAAGGCTGTCCAAGGGAACTTCTGTCAGCCATCCCTCCCATCTTTACACAGGGAAGACGACTCACTGGCCCATGCCGCAAAGGACAGAGCCTATCTACTGGGCTCTCTTTTTGCGTCCAACTCGACTCTTGATGACGGGGGAAGACACCGTCGATCGTCCCGCCGTGTGAGTGATCCATGCAGGATGTGCTGTTACCCAACGCTTGGTGCGCAGAGCACTCCTCTCCCTGGACGTCAACAAGTCGAGTGGGCCTAATGGCGTCCCTCCTATTGTGCTGAAGACTTGTGCCCCAGAGTTGGCACCGGTTTTAACGCGTCTTTTCCGATACTCCTATTCCATAGGCGTAGTCCCGAAATCGTGGAAGACAGTAGCGATGGGTGTTGAATCAACTTTACTTATCTTATCTTCACGCACAATCCCTAACGGGGTTGAATCAACGAACTAGTTGAATCAACCATTGATCTCCTGTCAACGTATTTACTGTTTATGAATCAACTAGTTGAATTCGTCAACGACGTTTATGAATTCAACGTGTGCGTCTCGTTCAATAAACGAGACGGACTGACCAAATAAAAAAAAGTTACGTTGAAAATACGTCATAGACTGCGAGCGACGGTCAAGTCATGTAATTTGAACCCTAAGTGAAGAATCAAAGAGTTCATTTTAGAAATATTTATTTTAAGAATAGTACTTATGACGATATTGGTGGAATGATGCATCTCCCTCGTTCCTGCCCCAGAGGAATAAGTTAACACTAGTTTGTTTGTTTACATTTATGAACAATATTAAGTTCGCTTTCTTTAATTTTTGATTGACAGTTTGTGACAAGTTGCGCAGAAGGTCAGAAGTTTTTTGCGGCTTATCGTAAATATTTAAACTTTTTAGTTAAAGTTTATAGTAACAGTGTAAATTTGTTTGTATTAATATAATTGTGTATATTTGCATAAAATAGTACTACTTAAGGTACAAAATTGAAAATTTCGGGACGTACTAGGGGTAACAGTGAAATTAGTATAATTATATCATAAGTAAAATTGTGACCAGTTCAAGGGGTATGAAGTAAATGTAAAATAAAACAAATTGACGAATGTACATAAAATCAACATAAGAATTATGGAAAAAATGAAAAAACAAAACATAAAAAAAACATATAGTAAATAATAAGTGATTTGCGTAAATAGAATCAGATAATCCTTTAAATACGCCTGAGTAGAATATGGTGTAGATCCATCAATCAAACGTTTTCCAATATATACATCAAGTTTCTAAACTTGAACTTCGCAGCGTTGAATAAAAACCATTCGATGAAAGTACGGTTTACGTTGAAAGGTGACATTAGTAGTACGTTAACTTTTTGACGGATTCAACTAGTTGATTAACTAGTTGACAAAAGTAAATCAACGTTAACGTTTCGTTAAAGGGGACCCCCCACAACCACAAAAAACCCCCCCCCCAACCCCCTTTTTTTTTATAAAAATTTTTTAAAATTACTTATTTTCAAGGCACTCCCTTTGTTGCTTTAGCCGGTAACGGAATCCTTGGCGTTGACATATCGAGTGACGTGCAGTTTCGTGGTCACTTGCAAAAGAAGGCCAAATTGGCCTCTAAAAAGCTTGGCGTTTAGCAGAGCGAGACAGTATTTCATGCTGGCATACCGCCATCAACTGTACAAGGCGCAGGTACGGCCGCACTAGGAATACTGTGCCCATCTCTGGGCTGCGACTCCCTAGTGCCTGCTCCTTCCTTTTGATCGCATCCAGCGCAGATTTGTTCGAATCGTCGGCGACCGAGCTCTTTCGAATCGGCTTGACTCACTGGCACGACGAAAAGATGTTGCATCTCTTTGCGTATTTTATCGCATTTACCGCGGGGAGTGCTCTGAGGAATTGTTCGGACTTATTCCAGCCGCAGAATTTCACCATCGCACATCGCGATGAAGCTCGCGATACCCATCCATACCATATGAATGACTGGAGTCCACAACTGTGCGATTTAGGCTTTTTTTAAGCTTTCTTCCTCGCACGACTTTGTGGAATCGTCGACCATCAGAAATTCCCCTAAAACCTAAGTAATACTACCATCAGACCTTCGTTTCCTCAAAAAGACGTATACGCAGTCTCTACTCACACACTTCTCGATCGTCGGTCTGCTTGCTAGTCGTGGTAAGGCGCATCAACTAACTACGAGAAAAGCCCATGTCCAGCAGTGGACTTTTATGGAGCGGATAAGGCAATAAATAAAAAATAAAAGTTCTATGTGATTTGATGTTCCAAACAGTTCTTTTATGTTTACGAAAACCTCAAATAATCAAATCGCTAAATAAAAATAGATAAATAGACAAAAAATACACATTTAATTTTAAATTAACTATAATACAGTGTTATGTTCTTTGAAGGTATACCTTGCTGGCAAGGGTGACGGTAACATCCGATACTATGAAGTGGTCGAGGAGGCGCCTTACGTTCATTTCCTAAATCAGTATCTGTCGGGAAACCCACAGGTAAAGTAATCATAAATCACTCAATATTTATACAGCTTGTAACTTAATAAATTATTGATCTGAGTATTCTATGTGTCAAATTGTCTATTGATTTTGAGCTCCTAAATACTATTTATACATCCTGCTCTTAATAATATCTATACATAAATAAGACGGAAATGTCTGTTATATCGGAATTACTGCCTCGTATTGAGCTCAGGTGGTTATTTGCGTGCCATGAAGACATCAATAACTATTTTTAAGTTTTTTGTCTGTCTGTCTGTCTGTTGGACTATAGTCAACCAAATCTAAGAAATACATTTTGACAGCTGTCAGAATTATTGCACCAGGCATGCCAACAAAAAATGGGAACTTGTTGACTTGAAATAGGTTGGTCATCATTTACAGTTTGGTTTGAATAATATCAGAATAAATTAAAAACGGATAATTTAAAACACATGATTTATCAGTTTCTACGTATTTGTTGTTAGGTACTGCTTATTTCACAGTTAAAAAATTTAAGATTATAACTAAATTAAAAATAAATTCATTCAATCACTTTCAGTACAACTAGTTGAGCTGTCGTTGTTTGATTTTCAATAATGCAGTCAAAATTAATGTCTCTTTCAAAGTCATCCATAATATTTTTTTTTGTTTTTTCTACCACTTGCCCAATGATCCTTTGTGAAATGGGCATATGCTTCAACGAATATTAAAGAAACAGTTCAAAAAGTTAAAGTCGAGTCACACAATAAGAAGACAAACACAAAATCACAAAATTACGCACAGTCAGCGCCCGAAACGGCGGGATATTGAAATTACGTAGTGGTTTTTATATCGCGACCTTGTATATGAGTTTCTATTGTCTACAGAAATTTACGTTGGCAAATTTAAAAAAATAAACTAGTTTTATTCATGATTTATGTAATTTAAAGAATTTAAAAAATAAAAATTAAATTTAACCCATAATACATTAAAAAATTAATGATTCGATTATTTTAATATTTTTTACCGATTATTGGTATATTTTTGCTGATTATTCGCATAACAATTAATTTTATTCATCCAAACACTACGGTAAGGTGTATAGCGACATATCATTGACACGACGTGAAGTACAAAAAGTTGATACTGGTTATTTTTTAATATTTTGCTTTGTTTGAAAGATTCAAATTTAAATTAGTGATAAAAAACTATACACGTTGTAATGAAATATTGATAACTTTATAATTCTTCGGATTTACGTAAATGGTTATTTTAAATCGTGTGAGTATGCTTGTGCAAAGTTTTAGCTGAATTGATGATTAATGTGAAACGTCAAAAGGTATTTCTTAGATTTGGTTGACTATAATCATCGAAATGGCTAACGCGATTGTAATGAAACTTCACGGTCAGATTGAGAGCAATACCAAGAGTGATCTAGACTATATTTTATCCAAAAAAAACCAAGAAAATAAAAACTTGCAAGATATTTCTTTTGAGAAATCACATTAATACCAAATCCTACTTAAAAGAAGTCGGGCCGGGTCAGTAGTTTTTTTTTAATAAAAATTTTTTCATAGGCACTTTTTCATAAAAAATAAAAATATAAATTTCTTTGCAACCTTCCGCTAAATAAATACAATGATGTGAATAACTTAGCGCTAACTTAGCGGTCAGTCGCTGTAGAGTCTACATTACCTGAAGATGCCTCGTGTAGAGGCGAAACACGTGTCGTATTATCGTCGATGGTGTGTCTTACCTGGAATAGTGGTGCTGGGACTAGTGGTGACGGAGTTAGTGCATGCAATTGAGGGAGGGCGGGAGGTGCTCTTCAATCCAGGTAAGACACATCATTGTATTTATTTAGCGGAAGGTTGCAAAGAAATTTATATTTTTATTTTTTATTATAAGGGATTTCCGCAAAGTAACGCCTGATTCTATCAATTAAACACTTTTTCATTTAAGAATATAGTAAAAGTATTTTAAGTAATATTATTTAGGCTATTTCTTAATTTAAATACACCTTTATATTATTCGAATCGATGCGACGCGGTAACAACACAATGCGTATGCTAAATATTGCCACTTTACATCAAATTTCTTCGCGACGTTATTTATCAAACAGTTTTCAAAGTATTATTTTATAGTAAGGCCATTTTTAGTTGTTAAGGTCTGAATGTTAATACTTTCTTTTAATTGCCGATATTATTTAGTGCTGCACGAGACAAATGAACTAGGCTGTGTAGCATTTTTTCTTTTTTTAATAGTTGTGATAACAGGAATACAACATTAAAGACAACGATGTTACTGCTTATTTTGACAGATATCTATAATATTTATTTTTGTTTATTATAGTTTATGCTTACTTATTAGTGTACACCTTATACATTATACATTTTGAATACGATAGTGTGAATTTTGCTATATGTAGAATATGGAGTTGGTAATGCATTTAAAATCCTGGCGAAAACATACATTAGACTAGAGTTTCCATTAATCTGACATGGAGATTTATCCTATTCGGTCCGACCATGAGACCTACACCTAAGTTGTTTATAGTTATAAGAATTACTCCAAAATACTGTAAGCTGAAAGTGTTGTAAAACATCCGAAATATCGATAATTAAAAACAATAAAAATGGGTCAAATTAAACTCGATTTTAAATTCGACGTTAAATTAGTTTTATTTAATAAACATGGTTTTTAGGTATTAGGTATTTTTCTCTTTTTGTTCTCCTTTTTTTTCAAAGACCAATATTGCCAAACGCAAAAGTGATTACATTTTTTTTTCATTAACAGCGAGGTCTGGGTTACATGCCAAAACGTGGCGTGAACACGTCCATCTGCGAAGTGTTCCGCTTCTATAAGCTGCACACATCGCGAGGCCTTTGCGAGCCGATCTCCATGATAGTGCCGAGGAAATCTGACTGTTTTCAGGTAAATAGATATTCATAATGATCATGAAGTCCTCGTCAGCAAATTGCGCGTATGTCAAAAACTTCCGAAGTTCGGAAATGGTGTTTTGTGTTTTGTGAACACGTCCATCTGCGAAGTGTTCCGCTTCTATAAGCTGCACACATCGCGAGGCCTTTGCGAGCCGATCTCCATGATAGTGCCGAGGAAATCTGACTGTTTTCAGGTAAATAGAAATTCATAATGATCATGAAGTCCTCGTCAGCAGATTGCGCGTATGAAAATAAAAAGCAAAAATACTTTTGAGTTTACATGATTTTCGAAATTCACCAGATAATTTTTATAGAATAAGTCACAGTCCAACTGATGGTAAGTGGATGTTGTGTGCCCATAGACATCTAAATCTATCCTCGATTCAGAATTAAAATGCAGACGCGTTGTCAGCCCTAAACGAGGGCTAAGATGGAATACCTCATTTTTTTTAATATCCTCCAGATCGATTTTCAGTCACGACGGCCAGTCTCAACGAATACTGCCACCTGTGCAGGACAGGATTATAGTGCTCAATACAGCACGCAAGCACAGATGCACTCTATTTCCTCACCCTCGTAGACCGGTGGAATGGCAAACCGACGCGACCGAAGAGAAATCTGACTCGGGAACAACGGTTTTACGTGCTTTCCGAGGCACGAGAGTAAAACACCGCCAACTTCCTACTGAGATATTCTTGTCAAAAAACCCAATAACATATTTTGGCCTGATCCGAGATTCGAACCCAGGACGCTATCATCATTCGCGCTTACGATCACTTGATCAACGAGTCGGTTTCATTCACCAGATAAGAAATTGATTGGTAAAGTGGGATATTACATGGAAATACCAGAAAGCCCTCATGAGTGTATAGATATGAGTATAACTGTTCTGCTTACTCTAGACGTAACGTTTTACGTGGTAGAGCCATGCTCCAGTTATACTCGTATTAGTAGTATAGTTCTAGCACGAATGGGTCGGCTCGACCGAGGAAGGACCACGCTCTCACAGAATACCAGCGTAAAATAGTAGCTTAATGCTGCTGTGTTTCGTATGGTGAGTGTAGAGAACCGGAGACCCTTTTTACTGGAAACGAGGCATTCCACCTAAGTCCTCACGGGTGACAACGCATCTGCATTTTGATTCGTAATCGAGGATAGATGTAGATGTCTGTGGGCCACAGTAACCACTTACCATCAGGTAGACTGTGTGCTTGTTTGTCGCCCTATCCTATATATATATATATATATATATATATATATATATATATATATATATATATATATATATATACCGACTGTGAAAGTGCGATACATATGACACTGCAGTCATCAATTCGACTAAAAAGCGTGGCGAATTAAATCCGCATACGACACAACAGGTTCATGTCCCTCAGACTTTTACGAGATGATAATGATGGCTTCGTAACATTCTTTTTTAACCTGAGAGAACCAAGATGCATCTACATTATGGTTGCAGCACGAATCGGTTGGCTCTACCGGGGAAAGACTACGCTCTCACTAATTACTAGCGTAAAATTTCAACTTAATGGTGCTGTGTTTCGTATGATCATTGTAAAGAACCGAAGACGCTTTTCACTGGTAATTATTCTGTCTTAGTCCTCAGGGGTGACAACGTATTTACATTTTAATTCTTAGTGGAGGACAGATGCAAGTGTCTATGGGTCTGAGCATTAACTTACATTAAATGGACTACATGTGCTCATTTACTACACTTATTTTGTATAAAAAATTGTTTTTATACGTGGGTAGAGCCATGCTACAACTATATTGTGATTGCAACTTAATGCTACTGTGGTTAGTATGGTTAGAGAACCGGAGATCCTTTTTACTGGAAACGAGGCATTCCATCTTAGTCCTCACGGGTGACAACGCATCATCATTTGATTCTTAATCGAGGATAAATGTAGATCTCTATGGGCCCCAGCATCAACTTACCATCAAGTGGACTGTGTGCTCGTTTGTTACTCTTATTCTATATTTAAAAAAAAACTTCTTTTTCACATATTTCCCATATTTTTATTTCTGTTATTTAAAATACTTACTTTGTTGCTTTAATTTAAAATGTCTCAAAGTGATATATAAAACTTAAAATTATTATGTCAACACATTGATTATTGTCCTTATATGGCAGTGGAAACCTAAAAGACAAAATTATGTTTTATTTTTATTTTATAGAATAAGGATGACAAACTAGCACACAGTCCACCTGATGATAAGTGGATTTTGCGGCCCATAGACATCTACATCTATCCTCGATTAAAAATCAAAATGCGTTGTCACCGTTGCAATTAAGATGGAATGCCTCGATCACAGTAAAACGGGTCTCCGGTTCTCTACACTCCCTATAAATGTATCCTAAAATAATACATTTTTATTTATTTATTACAGGAGGATTTATATCCCGATACGGCAGCTCCTCTGCCTGCTCTCACCGCTAAAGATTGGCTGAGTGGAATGAACGCATCCCCTATTCTCATAAGCATGAAAACTGGTAAGTTTATACATATTTATTTACTTTCATTCTAATATACGGCATAAAACAACTAGTCAAATGTGTAGTGTTGTAAACTGTTCAAAATGTCGGGACCATAAAAATAAGTTCTACATTTATTCAAACTACTTTGACGGATTTTATCGCGTTTATTTATGTTATTTTTAATACCTGACGTTTCGGGTGCTTTCCACCACCCATGGTCACAGGGTACTGAGGTGACTAACGTCACGATGTCAAAGTTAACCCGGAGTACCTTCAGCTTTTTATTATTGTCTTTGGTCCGATCTATTCAGAATGAACTAACTGTGTTTTGAAGTCTTGCAACTGTATGCTTGGGTTTAGTTTTAATTTTATTACTTATAGGGTCCCAAGCAGGTGGTAGTACCCAGCCTCCTTCTCTATTAAAATTAGAATGTTTTTTTTTAATTTCAATAGCCTCACGTATTATCCTTGGCAGACATCGATGTTCTTTCGCGAAGATTTATGGTCTATCAAATCTGATGTAATGGTTGGGGCCATCTAGGATATGATCGCAAACTGCCCGTGATCATGGGTGCTGAAAAGCACCCGAAACGTCAGGTATTAAAAATAACATAAATAAAAGCGATAAAATCCGTAAAAGTAGTTTGAATTAATGTGTAGTGTAGTGTTCGCGTAAATATAAGAAATCATTAAATAAGTTTTACTTTATGCAGTGAACTTTTTGATAGGCTGCTGGAATAATTTATTCATATTATTCACATAAATTTTTTAAAGAAAAACGTCGGGTGCACTTATTCCAAAAACCAAATTTTCAATGAAGCTACAAAATAAATATTACCTTTAATTAATCTAATTAATTTAGAAATGGCAAATCAGTTATAGTTAATGATTTTTAACATTAGGTGTAACAATCTCTACGCACAAGCCACGCACGAACAATAAAGATACTCCAGCGCTGCAACCTCAAGACGCGAATAACAGGAAGAAATTTGCTTTCCTGTCCCGGGAGACGACCCCGGACTACCGCCCGCTAGGAACATGGCAACCGACAAATGACAACCATGTCAACGACAACGATGTACAGGTAAATAAATATTTATTTAAGATCACGTAAGTATAAATTAGATGCGTCTAGCAGTTTAACAAGTTCCGTTCAGTCGTTTGAATCGACTTCTCAAAATGTTGATTTTTTATCATGATTTCCGTGGTGTTGAGTTTCTATGAAGTCAGCATTCCGCTTAACTGCTAATTTTATATTCGATCATTGTGATTTTAGTTTACTTTCGTGTTGTATCGATATAAACTGGTAAAGTAGGGTGAACAAAAGAGAGATTCTTGAATAAATATTTACAAAAGAACCGTAACTTCCATTATCTCGCAGAAGGAAATTTATTTCGACTTTAGCTCTTCAATTTTTTTAAATTATATTTATCGACATCATCATTATATAGTTACTATACTCTATAATGCTGCGGCTACACTAACGAGAAACGTCAACGGCCATAAACGCAACAATCATTGCCTTAAATTTAACGCGATAAAGTGAGTGGCTACACTTGAATGGTCAACGTCGTTTCAATTTCAATGCCTTTGAACGGCGTTAAATGTTTTTTAAGTTAAATGTTCCTTGAATTTCAAGCAATATGGACGTTAACGCAGCTACTCTATATGATTAAAATATAAGAAATCATTATGCAGCTACTCTATATTTGATGAGTGTAAATTTTTATTATATGAATATATTTTATTATTGATGCAGTTTTATTAAAATTGCAAATAAATATAAAATGCAGCAACGTGCCGAACATCAATCCTGTTTAGTAATACTCGGACCAGCAAGTCAATGACAAAATAGAGGTTTTCGTTTCACGATCACTTTGGACCATCTTATATCGTATTATATACTTACCACTGTATTTAATGTGTGATTACTTTCATATAGCCCTCGTAGGAAACTATCCATCGTTTGGAATGCGAACCAATTAGTTGTATACACGTTCTTTGTGCCAGCTCCGGACTTCAAAGACTTGTTCAAACGGTATCTATAATAACCCAATAGATATTTGAAAAGGTAACAGTTGCATAATTCGTCGCCAAGCATCATTTTGCGATGTACGATTTTTAAAACTATTAAGTCTCGGATCCCACGACCATGGCTCTTTTAGCAGGATCTCGAGAAACGTTGTAACATTTTATTACTCCACTCCATCGCAGCCATACGTCAACCCTGTTGCACTCACCGTGCACAATGAGACAAACGTAGTGTGGCCGCTTCAACGCGATAATTCGCGCGTTAATCCTGTGATGTACCGCCACTCGAGTTATCGCCAAACGGAAAACGGCGTTGTTAATGCCGTTGTCAAATTAACATAACATAACATAAACACTCACGCCTGTCACACAGAGGGGTAGGCAGAGACTACAGACTTCCATTTGGCACGATCCTGACACACCTCTCTCGCCTCCTTCACATCCATACACCTACGCAAACATGCTCGTCGGTTAAGGGTACTTCTAATTTGGCCCGTTTTCAATAAATCGCCAATTTGGTCGATAAATTTTCGCCTAGGACGTCCCTTTCCGACTCTGCCATTCACTTTTGCAACATAAATTTTCTTTGTCACTCTTTCCTCATTCATTCTTTCCACATGACCAAACCACCGAAGCATTCCTTTCTTAATCCTGGTCACAACATCATCTTGCAAACCACACTCTTCTCTTATTACACAATTTCTTACCCTGTCATTCAGATTCAGCCCTAACATACTCCTTAACGACCGCATTTCTACTGCGTTCATTCTACTCTCGTGCTTCTTCTGCCACACCCAACTTTCACTACCATACGTTAAAGTAGGGACCAACACAGCATTGTGAATTGCCATACGTGCCTTTTTTGACATATTTTGACTCTTCACAATAGAGTGCAGGGCCCCATTTACTCTATACGCAGCCCAAATATGCAAACTCATCTACTTACTCGATCAACTCCCCTTCTATTCTTACATCACAAATCGTTTTACTTTCTTCTCTTTCAAAAATCATAACCTTCGTTTACTTGCGTTCACTTTCATACCCCTTTCTTTTAATGATCTGTTCATTAATGTAACCATCATTTGCAACTCGGCCGCCGACGACGCAAGGATAACTTGATCATCGGCGTACAAAAGGCATTTGACGGTTAACTCACCCATTCTTAATCCGCATTCTTCAACTTTCAAATTTTGCAAACAACTGTCCATAAATAGGTTGAACAGCCACGGAGAAGCCACACAGCCCTGTCTGAACCTTTATGGATGTCAAACCAGTCCGACAATGTAAACCCCGTTGATCCTAACACAAGCACTAGGGTCCCTATAAAGGGACTCCAATGCCTGTATTAAGCCAACCCTCAACCCAAATGAGTTCAGTGTTTGCCATAGCACATCCCTATCCACTCTGTCATAGGCCTTTTCCAAGTCCATGAACGCACAAAAAACCTTTTGGTTTTTGGCCAAAAACTTCTCCGCGATCATGCGCATGGAAAAGACTTGATCTGTACATCCCATTCCCTTTCTAAATCCCGCTTGCACATCCCAAATTTTTCCATCAGTTTCTTTCATGACCCTTTCAATCAGTACCTTAGCATACAGTTTTCCCACAATGCTAAGAAGGCTGATGCCACGGTAGTTTTTACATTCATGCTGCGACCCTTTTCCTTTATGTACTGGGACTATCACGGCTTTGCACCAGTCTACCGGTACCCGCTTCAGTTCCCAGCATAAATTAAACAAGGTGTGCAGCAGGCCTGCCACCACTTCCTCTCCAGCCCTTAGCATTTCGAGTGAAACTCTATCATATCCGGCAGCCTTACCTGCTTTCATGCTTTTCATTGCTTTCATTATTTCCTCTATAACTTATCTCGTTCGTCTTTCATCTTCTTCAGTATCTACTTCACTTAGTACACACGTTCCTCACTCAGCTTTCAAAATATTCCTTCCATCTCTTTAAACTCAAAACTTCATCATTCAGAATATAGCCATTCTCGTCTCTTATAGCATTCATCATAGGCTGTTTTGAATGTCCCCTGGCAGTTCTTACAAGTTTCCAGAACATTTTAATATTTGCCTGGAAATTATCCGATATTTTTCTATCATTCTTATCCGTTCTTTCTTGCTTTTCTTTCAACTACTTCTTTTACTCTCTTGTTGTCAAATTATCGCATTAATTCGTGGCCACACCTACATTCAACGTCCATCAACGCGATAATTAACGCATTTCTCGTTAGTGTGGCGCGGTCATAAAATCAGAACATTACTATTTTGATTTTTAATCGAGGATAGATGAGGGGTCTACAGGACAAAGTAGCCACTACACTGAGGCGAACTTTTGCTCTACTACTAACAATTAAATTAATTGTTGAGAGATATTTCTTTATCATAAACAATTTTGTTTTCGATCAAGCTTAAAACATTCGCTTGTTTCCGCTGTTTCCCCTATATTTATTTTGCAATTCGGGGCAGAAATGCTGTTCTTCCGTGTAGGTACTTATTCTCCATGTACTTGCGTATCTGGAGATATCCGAATAGAAAGTAACAAGATGTTGAGCCTACTAAAAGGAAAGGGGGAAGGTATTGTCCCTCATGAGGTGGAGCCGCCAAGGGGCGGCTGGGGCTGCGGATATGTATGCGACAGCATTTATGGTGAATGAAAAACACTATAATCTTTTATTCATTGTAAATTCGATACATCCACCCTTTCCTTTGGTACTTCTTAATGTACTATCTTAATGGGAAAAGGATGGTGTATATAGTAAGTGTAGTAACCATGTAGTGGCGGTGTAAGAATATCCTCTACCCCATTCCATGGGTGTCGTAAAAGGCGACAGAGGGAAACGAATCTGGAGATGGGTAGCAGCGTCTAACTTTTCCGTCGTCTTCTTTCCAACCCGTTCGCCAAGCGTGGCAACTATGGCAAATATCCTCCTACGAGGCAATCTATGGGGAAGGCCTATGTTCAGCAGTGGACTTCAATAGGCTTTAACGGTATATAATGAGTAGGCTACTGTGACTCATCTCAATCCTTTCAAATAAGCGGAGTCATCTTATGCTGTCGGTCTTGGTAGGCGGTAGGGTTCCTTTCCTCACTATTGATGAGGGAGTGGTGGGACTGCGGAAGGAGAGGAGTATCGGTATTGCGAGGCGCCGCTCTCCTGCGAGGCGCCGCTCTCCCTACACGAATCCGCAGCCGAATCTTGGTTGGCGGCGGTATAGATTAAAGTTTAACTTTTTTGTTGTTGTCTATGGTAACCGCTGTTAACTATGACATCTGGACGTTGAACATCTCAGTCCCTCCCGTGACCATGGGTGCTGTAAAGCGCTCGAAACGTCGGGTATTTATAGTTAAATATACGCGATAAAATCCGTAAAAACTAGTATTATTTCAATGCGTAGTGTTCAAGTAATAAGAAATCATTAAGTAAAAATACCCTGTACCAATCTCACGACACTAGCACAACCAGTTAGTTACTATACGAAAAACTTTTTGTGCAGGCTATAAACGAAAAATCACAGAAGACGAACGCGAACCAGAACACGAAATTCCACCAGCTTCAGCGCATGTTCGGCAAGCAGTGCGGCGACGCCGAGCCGGTGCCGTTATACAAGCAGATCAACCAGGGCGACGTCTTCAGCACCGAACACGAGGTACATGTCCCATAATAATAATGTCCTCCAAATCGAATTTCGGTCACGGCGGCCTGCCTCAAACGGAGGCTAGCCATCGGCGCCGGACAGGATTATAGTGCCCAAGTGTATGCGCAAGCACAGGTGCACTCTCTATTCCCTCACTCTCATAATCCGATGGGACGGTAAACCGACACGACCGGAGAGAGATCAGGCGCAGTACCATACTAGTGCTTCTGAGTGCTCCATATGTCGATAATATGTATAATACTAAACTACCAACAGCTAAATAGAATTATCCTCGTCAAGTCCTCTCTATCTAAAAGAATGTTTTAAATTGCTCAGCTTCTGTCATATTTTTGCTAAGGTCCAAGGAAAAATTTTTCCCTCCAATGTCTGGTGCACCCATTTTATGATAATTCTCGGTTTTGGAGTAAGACTTTGGAACTTCTTACCTCTGTCGATTAAACGTGCTTAATTCATACATTTTCCAAGAAACAGATTAAATAACATTATTTATCGCCCTAACCGTTCCCTCTTTTTTCTTTTATTTCTGGTCACTGAAGTACCAGCTAAAGTATATTGTATTTTAACCCCAGAATAAAAAGAGGGTGGTTATAAGTTTAACCGCTGTGTGTCTGTAATGTGGCGTCGTAGCTCTTAAACGGGTGAACCGATTTGGATGCGTTTTTTTTTATTTAAAAGCAAGTTCATTAGCGGTGGTTCTTATGCACGTTTTATCAAAATCGGGTCAGCCGTTTGTGATCATCAGCTTTTTTAATTTCGAAGGGTTTTTTTTATAGGATAGGATGACAAACGAGCACACAGTCCACCTGATGGTAAGTGGTTACTGTGGCCCATAGACATCTACATTTATCCTCAATTACGAATCAAAATGCAGATGCGTTGTCATCCGTGAGGACTTAGGTGGAATGCCTCGTTTCCAGTTAAAAGGGTCTCCGGTTCTCTACACTACCCATACGAAACACAGCAGCATTAAGCTGCTATTTGACGCTGGTATTCCGTGAGAGCGTGGTCCTTTCCCGGTCGAGCCGACCCATTCATGCTACAACTATACTACTAATATAACTGCAGCATGTCTCTACCACGTGTTTTTAAAATTGTCAATTTAAATTATTATATATTTCTCTTCTTTTTATTTAAATCCTTTTCTGGGTTGTTTGGTAGAAATTGCTATTTAGCAATAAGATCGCCTTTTGTTTTATTTTGTATAATAAAGAGTTTTAGTATTGTATTGTAGTGAAGTGTATTTAATTTAATGAATTGAAGTCATCACAAGTCCACTGCTGAACATTGGCCTTCATCAAAGGCTTACAAAGCACACACCTGAACCAACTATATACTATTATGAATTTTTTCCTTTGTTGATTATTGTGCCTGCCTATTGTTTCATAGAGCTGTGTCCGATCCTCTACTTCTGGAGTGGGTTTATATTCACTGCTATTGTATGCTAGAGAATAATATTATTATTTAAAAACATCTTCCAAGTATTGTGTGTACAACTATAAACATATCAGTGGAAACAAAGGGCCATCCTTACTCTTTTTTCTGAGATTAAAATTCCTTGAGATGGGTTTTATGTTTGTTTACCGAATATTGTTTTCATAACATGAAAAATTAAGCTATTAAAAATAAAATATAAATATGTTGTCGTTGAATGTTGTGCGCTTTGACTATGTTTATAGATGCCCAGATCAACCTTAAGGCAAGTGTGCAAGTATCTATGGGCCTCATGGTTTTGGAAAAATACATTTTGACGTGGTATAGGATTTTGGAAGAATGGAAAGCAACACTCACAGTACCTTAAGGGCCTCTACATAGCTTAATCCGGTCCTGTATGTGAATAGCAAAGCGATTAGCAGTGATTACAAAATTAACTTATTAACGAAACACTTGATTCAGTGCCCTTCATTATCATAATCACAGCTCATTATACAGATTACTTCGTAATGGGTATATTTGCCGTAGTTGCAATGCTTGGCAAGTGAGCTGGCAACCGCGGTTTTCTTTTTATTTGCTAGGAAGATGCTGCTGCCTATCTCCTAGTTTGCTTTTCTCTGTCGCCTCCAACGACAGCGACGGGGCAATATAGGGTACTGAATATTTTTAAAACTTTGATACTTGGTCATCCCCTGGCACAATTTTTTTCACTAAGGGTTTGGTGTTATCTAGGGTATGTTCCAAAATAGAACCCAGTGTACTGTCCAATGCAAATGACGTCATGAATCGACGCCATACTGGTGATTCGTTCCAAAACATAGGACCGTATATGACGACATACATTTGCGCCATATTGGAAAACTGTTGGCGACTATTTTGTGCTCCAAAAATCATTATATCCTCCTAATGGAGATACCAGCAATTATTCTATATTTTTTTGTATTTCAATAAATAAAAACAAATTCTGGCATGCTTCATTCAGCGTACACACAATTAAAAATTGTTTTATTATGACCGGATATCCGACACAATATGGCGGCGGCACGCCAGTACAATATGGGGTCAATTGATGACGTCATTTGTATTCGGCAGTATACTGGAAACGTTTCGGAACATACCCCTAATGTGTTACTATACTTATACGAATTCGATACGATAGAAAACTCGTGCTCTGGGAGCTGATCTCAAGAATACTTGCTATGCAATCAGCATTATAGTTATATATAACCCGAATACACAGTCAGTTATTTTATGGTTGGTCACCAACGTGTCATAACAATTCATAACACTTAACTAAAATTCTTCCGACAGCTGCGTCTCGCTTTCAACCGTCAAGGCGAGGAATTGAGAATCGTTAAACGGCAGTTACAAAACAGCCAACAACGAGTTAGAGAGCTTGAGCAACACGTAGCAGCTCTACAGGCCAAACTGCAGAATCAGTGAACTGATTCCATGGAATTACATAGAACTTCACAATAACGTGTACCGAATAACAACACTTACATACAAATATTTTTAAAAAGGTGGTTGTTCACTAAAGCAAAATCGTCATGGAACAGAAATAAATTGTGTGTATGTCAAAACTCAAATAAACCGTTATCATTATATTCTTGAACGCAGATCTTAACAACTTTGTGTTAATTTTACCTTTTCATTCACTATATTTATGACTGCTTTAGTGAACAAGCGCCTTTTAAATGTTATGCCTAGCGGGATGAAAATGTGATCATACTCATCTACATAAAAAATAAGAAATGTTAAAACATTTCTTATTTTTAATTAATTAGCTTCTACAAGTGATTACAGCTGAAAGTACAAAAGTACTGTATGTTTTATCTGCCATGTTATATTGTAATGTGGGCTTCAATGGGCAAAATTTTATGGGACACAAAGTTTAGTTAGGGAAAATCTACCTAAATAATTTAGGATATTACCTTATGCTTTTTGCAAGTGTATCTCTATGCCTTAAAGTGTTTTGATGTAAGATTTTTTTTGTATCAGTGACATACAAAACCTGATAAAAATTATTATAATGTAAAAGAAGCGCGAACAAAATTATGGGAATTATATAATATCCCCATATATAAATTGTTGAGTATTAAATAAATAGGCGTTTTTAAATAATATTTTCCAACAATGCAACATTCCAAGTTTTAACATTTAAGAGAAAGAAAGCTTATAACACGAAAAAAGTTAAAAGATTTAATAATTCATACACGAATATATTGTTGATATGAATTTATATCATGATAAACTGCAAAAGTAATAACTGCAGTACATTACGTCATTTTTATTATTCGTCAGTCATTTGTAATATTAGGTCATTGTTAAAGCTTAAAATATTTAATCTTGCAAAACCCTCAGCTTAGCATTACTACTTCGCTTAGAAATGAAATTGGTCTGTATATTCTTATTTATCAAAACAATAACAATATCAAATGTAAAAGAAATATTTTAAAACATATTTTTAAGGATTCCATTTTTGTATCACTAGGATTGTATTTTTTTAATAATGTCCGTCGTCATTAATTTTAGTAGTTATATTTTCTGCAAATAAAAATAAAATTAGTGAAATAAAATTAGAACGAGACTATAAAACATAATGCAGTATTAAATAAAGTGTAAGAGATCAAATAATAGTCATTCCAAAAATATTTTTTTTAAATGGGACAGAATTAAATGAAATAAATGTGTTGCAATTTGTCTTTTAAAATTAAATTTGGTCTAAAATTACTATACCTAGAATATTTCTGTTAAGTGTCTCCGATTTTGGTATTTATAGTTTATGATTTTCCATGACATGTCAAATCTAGTTTATATTTTATTCATCTCCACTGGTAATTTGATATTATAGAACTCTTGTGATTAACTTCGTGATTGAAAACAATGTGTTATGGCCTACTTATCTTTACAAAAGTGTTTTATCATATAGCGTTATATTGTATGTATTTTAAGCTTAATTTGTAGTAAAGGCTGATCAACGTTTGCACGAATGTTTGGTGACATTATTGCTGCTATGACTTAAATCCTTTGAGCGTGTGGCCGTAGAGTCCACGCTCGTAGATTCTATGCCAAAATTTGTAAAAAAAACATGTAATGGAATTTATTGCCTTTGGACTTGAGAAAGCCAGAACTTAAATGAGTCGCAATTAGACATGTGTCATTCATTCTTTTCTAGTGACCCGATCATTCAAGTATCTACTCTCTTATGAACCGGGTCATTCCAATGGGGTTGATCATTCAAATGGATCATTTCGAGTCTCAGTAGTCTGTGGTCTGTGAGACTTGCTCGATGTCGATCGTTACATTACTGTACTCTGATGGTAGATCCTGTCAATCGTTTGATCCGGAACATTCAAAAAATGTAATTGCAATCATCAATACTTTGATGCAGACCCGGGTCAAATGAACGAATTATTCATGATTGACTCATGTTTAGTCGCAATTATACTAGTACCCTTCTATATTATATTCATGAAATCAAATGTAATTTGATCCGATTGGTTTTTATTACGTACTTTTAATATTAACTACGTACATGTGCAATGAATGTCAGGGTTTTTTTGTTTTGATAATTTGATATATAATTTTGGCGATGTCCAGTTATTTTGTATGACACTGGTTTAATATCCACACAAATGATATGTTTATGACATGCTTATTCCTACTTTTATTTTTAAGTTGACATTGTTAGTGATTGTTTTAGTCTTCTTAAGTCTGATTTATTTTAGAATTGTTCCATCATGATTACTTATATTTTATATCGTGTAAAAGTTCTCTATTATTATAATATGTTTATTTTAAGCATTAACTAACTTCAAAGTTTTGGGTTGCGTTGTCAAAAAAGTTTTTACAGATGATTTTATGAAGTTAGTGCCAGAACAGTTGGAAATGTGAAAGAGAATGTACAAAAAGGTTACCTGAACTTTTTGTATGCTATTATATTTTTAAGATTTCAAGCTAGCATTACAACTTAGTGTAAAATTCTAAGGTGCGAGTGCTACCTTATTGCATGTAATTGGAACATTTTCGACAATGAAAATATTTAGTGTTCACCAGTACTATTGTAATTGTGTATTAACATGTTACGTACTGATCAAAATGCATTAATGAACATTCCATTCCAATTATTCCGATTAGAAGCAACGACTAGTGTTAAGTTCAAGAAACAAAAGTATTATTGCATATTATCTGGATTAATAGTTTAGTTTGTGGCTAAGTCGATGTTAATATTTATTGTGTATTTTTATATCATGCTTGTGTAGCACAAATTTTCATTAAAATGTTTAAACATTCTTCTAGCTTTTTATTAGACGATTTTAAGAGAACTTGACCAGAAAATGGTAAGAAAAAAATGAAACAACTTCTTAAATAGGCGATGATTTACATCTTAAGCTTTATACAGTGCAAATCCTCAGCGCCATCTATCTGGTTCAAATTTATTGATTTTATTTTTGGTACGAATAAATATAAGTCAATTTGGTTCAAAAATATATGTTTTTTTACTATAGAACTTGACTAGAGTGCCAGCTATCTGATGCCAGCGTACCTGTGACTGCCGCATATAGTATATTATCTATGGTTGTAACGCTGTGACTATGAAACATTGCCTTGTATGTATGTATATATATATATATATATATAAAAAAAAAAAAATATATATATATATATATATATAGGATAGGGTCACAAACGAGCACACAGTCCACTCGATGGTAAGTGGTTGCTGCGGCTCATAGACATCTACATCTATCCTCGATTACGAATCAAAATGCAGATGCGTTGTCATCCGTGAGGACTATGATGAAATGCCTCGTTTCCAGTAAAAAGGGTCTCCGGTTCTCTACACTCACCATACGAAACACAGCAGCATTAAGCTACTATTTTACGCTGGTATTCTGTGAGAGCGTGGTCCTTCCCCGGTCGAGCCGACCCATTCGTGCTACAACTATACTACTAATATAACTGCAGCATGGCTCTACCACATATAAAAACTCTGACGTATATGGCCTCAAATCGTTCAGAAGATACATGATCACTAACGTAGTATTAAAATGATTAAGTTTGGGTTATTCCACCGTCCTGCGCTCTGCCCGATGCGTATTTTTTTTTAATTTTTCAGACGTTCTGGTTTATCTACGATTTTGAATGAAATTAAAGAAAATTTCTTGGGGAACTTCTGATAAAAATACGGTTGACCCTACAAGCTATCCCTGAAACTCTTCGCTAATTTCAAATGCAAAACGCTCCAAAGTCCACGCATTGAACAAATTTTAGAGCTTGAACTTGAAACGTTTTAAGCTTTTCGTACTAAGGTTATTTTCTACGAGCGTAAAATTTTTAGAAGTCATTCTCTTGAACGAATGAACCAAGTTTCATGCGGTGTGCGGCGATTGATGTTGTTTTTAAGCCGATTAGATTTTGAAATAGATCGATACATTAGTTTTAAAAAATCTCAAATAATTTTTTTTTTTTGAAAATTTAATTTCTACCGGGCCGAATTGATACCAATTCACATGAAATCTAATGGCAATAGAACTCTTTCGAATACCGTGAACAGCGCTTCTATCGGTCATGCCGTTAAAATTTATATAAGAAGTTTGCATACATACACACACGCACACGCATACACACACACACGAAGGGACATCCTCATGGGAATAGTATTAATAGCTTCCTAGGACCTCAAAACGTGAAGATCTGATGAGAACTCGATTTTCGAAAACCCGGGTGATATTAACAACTTCCGGATTTTTTGAAAATCATTCATTTTTATAGCGGGAAGTTAAATATTACCTATATAAGCATGTTAGATACCTCTACATCGGAGGTCTTATATTACTGATACTGAGCTAGCTGTGCCCTGCCCTGAAGAAAATGAGATTGGTTGGTTATGGTGGTAATGTTAGAAGACAACTACGTACCTATGTTAGTTGTGAATATCAAATCGCAAGCCCTAATTTTAAATTCCAGCCTGTGTCTATATTCGGTCAGTCTAACTTCGGCGTCATAAATAACACTTCGACAATTGTATGGCAAATATACAAAAAAACCCATGTTAAAGTCCTACGACGCTTACGTCCACGAATCCTAGGACGCGAGCTGTACACGGGAATTTCTCGTAACATTTCAACAAGTCAAGGGTACGAGTTCGTCAACGTATGTAGTGGATTTCTTGACGTGTTGGACGATGTTCGCGTTCAATTAACGATATAAAAAATTTATCGGTTTTAATTCCCGAGTCCTAATATAGATGCATATATTGGGTTCTTACATATGAAATTAGCGTTTTGTCGTACTGAACAATTTGATCTGAAATATCACCTCTTTGGTTAAGAATTCTAAATTCAAATTTATAAATTCATTTAGCTGGTACATTTGAGTTTTAAAAACATCATTTTTTTTCCTCATTATTTTTTTCTTTGGCGTTCGGTCTCGTCAGG